CGCTCCACCCGTTCGATAACATTGGGGTAGAAAAGATAGATATGAATATTATTCTATATTCGTATTGGATAGATATCGGGAATAATAATAATAAAAATATAAATAGATAATATCACAACAACACAACAACACAACAATAATAATAATAATATTATTATTATTATTAATAAATATAATATAAATAATAATTTTGGTCTTCATTGCTATCTGTCATCTGCATATAAGGCGACATAGACTCTAACTCGGCTTACTCTGTGATCATATGGAAGTAATTATATAGGTAAATACCTGAGCCAATATTATGGATAAAAACATAACAAATATAATGTCTGGCAGAAGCGCGTGAAGCTTTGAAATTTTTGGCATTTAGCATAAACCACAGAAATGTGGATACTTCGTTCCCACGCTAGATATGCAACCACGATCGCAAATCCGAGTGTACCGCTTCGATACTAGGTTTTACAACATTGGGCACAACGACGTCGAATGAATGTCCTAACGCCTTCGTAAATCATCGTTGATGTATATTTGAAGAGGCATTACGCTAAGTCGTTGTTTCGACGCTAAGCACAAACAGACGTTCGTCCGTGCGTCCAACGTGCTTGTGACGGTCACCGAACGCGCGTATCACACGCTTTCCATCTATAATGGCGTCCAATCGCATTATCGGACACTTTATCGTTCGATTACTATCTAAGCGCCGATATCTCATTAATTATCATGGACTCCCTGGAGGAGGCAGCGCAGCAGCAGCAGCAGTAGCAGACTTACTTTAAGTAATAATAGTACTGAATGCAAGCGGGCGATAGAAAGGGAACGAGTGAAATGAGAGTAAGAAGAAGAGACAGGGAGGGAGACAGACAGAATAGGGAAAGTGAGAGACACGAGAGAGATAAAGCGGCGCTATAAACTCGCAGACACTAGCCAAGACCTGCGTCCACTGTGCGATTCGGTCGACGAATGACGACGACGAAGCGGAACGACGGATGATGATGACGAAGATGATGATGATTATGTTGATGATGATTAGCCGGCGATCATTGACGACCGGTAATTAGCGGCGTTAGAGATTCATACGGTGAGCAGTGACGCCGCGCGCGCGGCGCTTGTGACATCTGCTCATTAAATTTTTAATCAGTACTCATTCCGCGGTCGCGCGATGCGTCGTTCTTTCTATCACCCCGCATCTCCCATGCCGTGCCGCGTCCGCCATCACCCGATAGCTCCGCCCCCCCGTAATATTACGAGTCAGCGAGCTTGTATAGGTTAGCGGCGGATGGCCACTCGACATTGATTTCAGCGGCTGGTTCTGACATGGCAGCGGCAGATGTGGTGTCTTGGCCGCGGGAGGCGTGGGGCGGAGCGGGAGGATGGGGGGAGGCAGGAGGAGGGAGGGGGAGGGGAGGAGTTGGGGAGTGGCGGAGAAGGGGAGGCAGGAGGCGGAGGAGGGGGATGAGCGGGATGAAAGGGACGCGGGAGAGCGGAGCGAGAGATGGGGGACGGAGCGAGGAGGGGACGAGCGGCGAGGAGGGAGGGGAGGAGGGGAGCGGGAGGAGTGGGGGGGTGAGAGGAGGGGGTGGTGGAGGGGGAGCGGCGATGGTCACACAGCGTGGGATGGCCGCTGTTATTTATCGAGAGCGGCTCAGTCTTTGTTGCTGCGCGACGGCCAAACGCAACCGGCGTTATCGGTGGTGGCAGCAGCAGCAGCATCATAAGCAGCAGCAGCAACAGCAGCATCAGCAGCAGCAGCAACGTTAACAGTAACACCAATAACAACAATAGCATCAGCAGCAGCAGCATCAATAGCAGCAGCAACGTTAACAAGTAACAAGAACAAGAACAACAGCAGCAGCTGTAGCAGCAAAAACGTTAACAGTAACAACAACAACAACAACAGCATCAGCAACAGCATTAGTAGCAGCAGCAACGTTAACAGTAACACCAAACGCAGCAGCCGCAGCAGCAATGGCAGCGTCAGCGGCGGCGGCGGCGGCGGCGGTGACATTAGCTACCGCATCGTTATTCTAACCTATGCTCCGCTCTCAACTCTCAATCGGCAACGCGTCGCAAAGTCTGATCGTTAAGTGGCACGAATTATCTGCTTGGCCTGCGCCTTTGCCGTTGATATATACGCGGCCACTATAAACTAGTACATTAACAACGCATCGGAGACACCTGTTGCTGAAACGGCCGTTGTCATGCAGAAAACGAGTGCTCAGGTGAAAAACACGATGCCGTGAGCAGGTGCGGTGTCGCTCGTTACCGACCGCTGTTCGGTGCCGACACAGATCGGCCGCCATTTTAGAGCGTGCGCGCAGCGGCGCGGGGAAAAAGCTGATGCTAACGTGTCCGAGTGTGTTTGCGGAGGTCTTGTTGCTCCAGCGACTCGGTTGTTATTATAGATAACTTAAAATGTCGTTGTTCGAAAATATTATGTTCGCTTCATCTCATTCTGTCTCGTTTATTTTCGTGTAGTTGTACGTGATTATATATATATATA